CGCTTTGTTTATGTGGCTATTGAACGTTTGGTGGTCATGTTAGGGTTTGTCTGGCCCTTGTGCACGCGAGCTGGCCTTTGGGCCATGCTCAGATCCATGTGTCCTGTTGTTGCCAGAATACATGTATCCAGCTGCACTTACTGACTTCTTATACCGACCAGGAGGTCTCAAGACACTACATTAATAGCAGCGAAAATCGAGCCCGACATTTTCTAATGACTTTTATCCAACGTGGTGTCTTTCAGCGGTTTGTTCTTCGTTGGTCGTTTGTCGAATGCGACATAGTGTTCGGGAAAATCTACTGCCCACTAGGCACCGCTGTCTTACTGTCATCCTACGTTTGTGCTTCTAAACTTTGTCACTTATCGACAGATTTCCGGAAATGAACACTACGAATAAGCCGACGAGCAATGGTTCAGTACCTACAAATCGCATGGGATCTGGAAACATATGTTGCTTGTTCTTGGTGTTGATGCTCTGGATTTGAGCGTCAATGAACCTGATAATCTGTTGGATCCCAAAATCGGGTTCCCTTGGACGGAATTTTGAGACCTCTCTTTTCACGACAAGAAGTTTACAATCCAACCAGCAGACCAGACCGCAAAGGAATTCTACATTTTAGTGAAGAAATTCAAGATCACTAAGCGCATGTTGGCGTTATGCACCGACATTCATGAGCTATGTATGCGTAAAAGTCTGACTCTGTGGAAATGCAATGGATGAAGATACAGGCGAAAAGGGGACGTAAACTGAAGTAGGCGCATTTACCTTGGTAGCGGGTAAACCTCCGAACCCGTCACAATGTAATGATTTAGACTGACGTCTGCATTTGGTTTCACCTTATTCCCGTGTTCCACAGACAAGCTGTTAACAACTGAAATAACACCGCCATGAAGTATCTGGAAAAGTTTCGTGTCTGAACTTCTCATACAAAATCCGTGTTTAGGTGTCAAAATGGCACTACGGTCCTCCTTGTATACAGAACAGTGGCCCATCCCTTTTTCCCTGGAACATATCTGCTTTAGGCCAGAGTTTTACCATCTATTCCTGGAAGCAGTTGATGGTCGACAGGTGTATGCGGCCCTGAATCTGGTTGTTAGATCGAACTTAACTCCAGATCCAGTTGATATTGCCGAGAAGACCAGGTACGGTTCCCCAGTCTCGTTTTATCTGTCGACTGGCGCAGTTGACTCGTGGGTGCTTTCATGTAGTACCGAATATGCTGTGGTGGCTGGCGTGGGAGGTGTACCAAGGGGGCGCCGAAGGAGCCGCTCAAAAGAAGAGAGGGGCAGTGTAATGCATTGTTTATGTCACTACCTGACGTTTGGTGGTCACTTTAGGATTTGTCTGGTTCTTGTACACGTGGGCTGGCCTTCGGGCCATGCTGAGGCCTATTTGCCCTGTCGTCATTAGAATACATGTATTCAGCTGCACTTACTTCTTATACCGGCCAGAAAGTCTCGGGTGCTACACTTCTAAGCTAATATTATAACAGAGCTTACACATTCAGCAAATTTACGGGAATAAGGTGTTTGAGCATGACTCGACGGCAGGCAAATATAAGTAATCATACCGAGCTCTGGTGTCGGTGGCACATAGCATTACATTATCCACTTCTAATTACCTAATCACCCGAGACCTCCTGGCGGGTATATGAAGTCAATAAGTGAAGCTGGATATATGTATTCTGAAGACGACAGGACAAATGGGCCTGGGCATGGCCCGGAGGCCAGCCCACGTGTACAAGAACCAGACAAACCCTAAAGTGACCGCCAAACGCCATGTGGTCACATAAACGAAATATTACAACCTG